TCAAACAAAAACACAGAAAATTAAAATAAATAAATAAATAAATCATCACGTCTCACTGGTACAGCATTTAGGAATGTTTTTCTAGATTCTGTTGCTGTTCTTAAAATTTCAGCAAAAACAAAATTGCAGGTAATGTATCTGTCAACTCTAACTTCTGAGCACATTTTCCTAGCATCGGACGGAGCCAGTTTTAACGAAATAGTGTTAATTGTCATTTTACTTGAATATCCAACAGATCAATTACACCCGAAAACCAAACACATCCTACAATGATTGTCACTTTCAAGGTTTAATTCAACAAACACGACTAAACAACAATGCCTAACAACATAAAGAAATCGCAAAGCTTTAGAAATTCTAAAGTAAACAAGAAATACGCGTGATAATAACTACAAATGACCATCGCAAAATTGCCTAATGTGGGCTGATAACTAAAATATCCGGAATTGAAGTTCTGATAAAATGCAGATGTGTAACCAGTTATATTGCTTTTACTAATTTTATTCAAAAAGTAAATCGGGTCGATTGAAGTATTAAACGACGGCTTTGTAGTTGTACCTTTAAAACACACATTTATTGCACGTGCTATGTGAAAATAGTGAATTTGTTTGTGTTTTTTCCACCATTTTCATATGCTCTGTGCTTTAAATATAGTAGTTATTAAAAATGCCCATATAATGTATGAAGTTCAAGGGTAACCATATTAACCAATGTAGTTCTCAAATCATGTTTAGAACAGGGTTAATTATGAGAAAAGTCTACCAAAACAGTAGTGGGGTCTTCAATGACGGTTGAGTAACGTCAGTTTAGGCCGTTTTTAACGTCATTGGCACCACATTTGACATTAACGACAAATACTTTTTTGAAGTTGAATAATCGATGGACATTTTAGGACATTAATATTCCTTGAGGTATTTAGGTAATTTAAACTCGTTAACTAAGCGTCTTTTTCAACATTCGCCGCTCTACTATTAATATTTGATTTCATGCTCGTAAATGGTGTAATTAATTTTGGCCGATTAGAGCGCCATTGGTGATTCTAATGAGATGAACGAACGTATTACGTACTAATTTATACACCTGATACCATTGCCTCATAGCGATGAAACCATAGTTATAGTACTAGTAATGTTAACTAATTCATAATCTTTAGTAGAGTGACAGTGCAGAAATTCACTTTACAAATGCTACAATAGGGCGATATAAGTCAACCGGCAATGCTACCAACCCCTAAATTATTTTCGTATACTATAGCATAAATGTCAGTTGATGTCAAACGAATTAGGTATAGCTGAGTTCTATTTTACGCCGTACCATTTCAATTTTTAAACAAAATATCTAACAGAATTGTTGATTATTATATCAATTAAATTATAGATTTCATACCGAGTTAGAATGGGATATCGCTAAATATCAACTCGAATTATTCATTTTCAGTATATTGATAAACGAGCCTTGTGCGAGTTTATTATAAATACAAATGTATCTAAATTAAATAACGAGATTTGATATCAAGCGATATCCAATTCTCACGAGTTGTTAAACTCCTATAGTCAACAATCTCATGATGTCTCATTGTGTTAAACAAAAATTCCACGAGTCATTGATCTTGTTTTTCGCGCATACCAGTTTGACGTAATATGTCCTGTTTCGGACTTTAACATCAGACATTTTAAAACTTTTTGCAGGCTTCAGAACGTAATTAATTTTAACAAAAAGACGATTTCCAAGTGAAAAGTGTGACGGTTTTGTATATTATTGAAGAAATCACATTTGCCCGTTACCATGGACGAAATGTACAACGTCCTAACCTTTGAAAGTCGTCAATGACCTAACAAATTGACAATGGAAATGTAATTCAATCGTCTCATGATGCTGGATAAGCCAATCAAATTAACATAGTTTTCATATCACTTTTTCGTTTTACACTCCCTGCAGTGTGATACGAGAAATATATCTTCATGTAAGAAACAGATAACATTACCATAGGAGAATGGCTGTTACACATTCTCTTTTCTTGGTTGCTTTAAGGTATGTACCTCAGACATAGTTTGACACATTGTGTAAACTATTTAACATTATGCATGAATGATATTAAGGAAACAACCTTATAGACTCTGTAGATCAACTCCTCAAAGTTGATTATTTCACGAAGGCTTTCGAATTAATTTTTTTGAATGCATATATTTATATAAAAAATCTTAACGGGACCTATAGATATGTTGTGAACATATCTATAGTACACCTTATATGCTTTCGCCTTTTATGACGGGTGTCTACTTACTTTTCCGGAGAATCTGAGATTACCCCCAGTTTTTGGTGGGGTTCGTGTTGCTCAGTCTTTAGTTTTCTAGTTGAGTTTTGTGTACTGTTGTTTGTCTGTTTGTCTTTTTCTTTTTTAACCATGCCGTTGTCAGTTTATTTTCGACTTATGAGTTTGAATATTTCGTTGGTATCTTTCGCCTCTATTATATAAATATAGGATAGATAATGGTGTAAACTTATTAGAAATTCAATCAAACGTAATGCAGCTAAATGTCACAACAATTTGTACAACATGATAATTTTTTCCAATGGATTATAAAATAACACAAATTATGCTTAATATCACAAAAATGATAAGTATATGTATTTTACACGATTGTTCTAACATTTTCAGAGAGTCAATTAGATTCTCATTATGTGCACGGTACATTCATACTGGAATCGCATACTAGACAGGATTTGGATATGCTCAATGAAATATACATTGTTACTGGATGCTTGGCTTGGATTTTTTTTATTGTATTCATTGTATTAGGTGAGCAGTCAGTATGTGTAAATAAATTTTCAGGTAGGACAGTTCTAAAACTAAAGATGATATTAGCTGTGTTTAAGTGAACAAAAAATGTCCTATAACAATCTTTGGGGTGTTTAAACATATGATCACAAGTATCACCAAACATAAAGGGGATGAAAACTTGATTGGTGAACTTCCAGTGATAGTTGTTATCTTACATGCAATGAAATGTTATGTGAAATTTTGTCTGTAGTACTGGCCAGGATAAAACTTTACTCATGCCAAGTATTTCCTTATTTGAAAAAAAGATAAATTTTGCACAATTTTTTTTAAAGTGCTAATTTAACAAAGACTTATAGGGGGAACACAATGATGGTATTACTCCTTCTTACTACAACCGGAAACTACCGGTACATGTGACATAAACTATTGGTATCGGTATCAGATTCGACCCGGAACTTGTTAATTATTGGTTTTTTAATTATGTGGGAAAAAAGGGCCTGGGATGGTGTGAATTTTTAATCAACGCTATTGTCCTATATAAGTTATATACATTTTTACACATTGTGACTTGGATGGAAAGTTGTCTCATTGGCAATCATACCACATCTTCTTATTTATATATAAAGTTGAATTATTTGATTCGTCGTTTTTACGTCATGCTGGCTAACAAATTGGATCTACTTATTTTAGTAGTATAGATATACTAAAAGCAGATTCGAGACCTTTGTTATTGAAAGTTATTTTATACTTACATGTCCATTAGTGATGACTCATTCGAATAACGTTGTCAAATTAATCAAGAGACATCACAGGGTTCCATAATTGAATTTCATGGTATTCATAATGTTTTGAAGGTTTTCATTTTTTGAAAATCATCAACATGAGCGTTTTAAATGTTTACAATGGAAAACAAATAAATTGTTCTGTGTAGTATTTAAAAATGAAGACGGTTTTATTTTAAATTGTAGAGCCGATCTCTAATTATGGAAATAAAATCAACGTGGATATGTTTCCTGTACTTAAGTGCAAGTGTTTATCATATACATACATTCAACATTACAAAGATTCTAGATATGTATGTCTCGGCATGTGGAAAAAAATTATGTGATCAAAGTAACATAAGTCATGGATATCAACCACTTTATAATACTTCAGTCAATTTTGGGGTTTGTCCTCATTGTGAATGTGACTTAGACTGTGTAGCAAGAGGCGATTGTTGTCCAGATTTATTTTTCTCTCTACATCTTTCATGTATTGAGACAATGGTCCTACACCAAAACATAATTTATAAACAAGATACCCCATTAGTTCTTATGGTAGGCAAGTGTAATGGTGAGACACAAGTGACGCCTGACAGGACAAGCCAATGCGAGTCAAAACTAACACCTGGAGAATACTTGCAAAATGGACCTGTAACGTCAAGGAAAACTGGAATGACATATAGAAATAAACACTGTTCTAAATGTTTTAATGAAAGTATTAAGGATTTAATTCCTTGGAGATTGGAAATAGCCTGCTTGAATTTTGCCGATTTCAACTTTGTATCATCCTATTCAGAAATAATAAGTCTTGCAACGGAGCAAAAGTGTAATATATTTTATGTTGTTAGTGATACCGTAAGACAACCAAGAAATTTTTCCACTGGTAAAGGAGCTCAAGGTGTTGTGAACAAATGTAACACAACGGGAACATGGCAAAATTATGATTCAAATTTAGAGTATGCTTGTCATCATTACGATAACAGGTATAAAATTTTCAGGAATATATTTTGTTTTATGTGTAATCCACCAGAACCAACAACTTTAATATCTGAGTGTTATGTTACAGGATACTGGGATTCCTATCGCGTTGATTTACTTGAGGCATGTCTTCAAACATCTCAGAGTGGGATAACAACACCATTCAAAAATTATTACTGTTATATCTGCAACCGCAATAATACCATTGCAAGTTCTCAATATGTGGATGCCAAAATTAGAATAAACGAGTCGACCTTCATGTTTATGAGACGACATTTCGATTTTGTGTTTCATATCGAGGCTCTGGATATTGAATTTATCAAAGACAAAACAATCAACGATATGAAGGTCCAAAATGAGTTTGAAAAAGAAAAAAGTAGGAAATATACACTAAATATCAAATCTCAAGAACAATCGTATAAAGCTATGAAAACGTTTAACACACTAAATTTAACAAATATACACAGAAAGTATTATGTCATAAACACTCAATTCAAAGAAGTATGAGTGATTGCGATTGTAACGATGATTGTTATTTTAAATCAAAACCTTGTTGTATTGACAAAATGTTTGAACTGTCAACGGCATGTACTGATAAAATGTTATCGTTATTAGGAGACAGATTTCTTGTATATAACCAATGCAAAAATACTTCTAACATTGAAATGAACAGATTATGTCAGAGCAGTCTTGATAGAACTTCATATTCTAATTTGCCGGTTCAAATAAGCAAGAGAAATTTTTCAGTGCATTACAAGAACGTTTTCTGTATGCTATGTAATGAAAATCTTTCACCTAATGAATTTCGGAATTCAATTATTGATTGGAATATTGCAGTTACTTGTGATAACTATATTTCTCCAACCTACCATGTGTCATTTCAAGACTATATAACCCATGCTATTCGCCAAAAATGTAGATACAGCATGAAACCTCAAAAACAGGGAACGAAATGTTTTGATTCAAATTATAACAAATGTAATATTACAGACAATTGGACAAATAATGACCTCGACATCAAATATGCGTGCGCATTTTTGAATTTGCCTCGTATGTGGTTCAATTGGGAAAATCCGTTCTGCAGAATGTGCAACCCTTTAAATCGAGACAAAGTGATACATACAACCTGTAACGAAACAAAGTTGCGAAATTTGTATACACCAAATGACAAAGAAAAATGTCATGATCTGCCGATAATACAGGCTCTTGCCCCATATAAGAATCATTTTTGCCATGTCTGCATCACAGGAACTAGTCCAACATTTAAATGGCTGCAAAAAAAATTGCCAAATGCGGGTGCTAGTGGCCAAGGAGGGCCGTTGGTACCGATATCATTTCGGGAAATATTTGCTCTTGGAGTATTTGATGATTTAAAAGACAACAAAATTGAGAAAAGATGTAACAAAACTCAGATATATGATAAACTTAAGGTAAACTATAAAATTATTTTAGTGACTTAGTGTTTAGATAAGTTTATAAATGCAATTAACTAATATTTCGTCAAATCCGTTTTTAGAAAATATCTGCATGTAGAAAAGTAAGATCATCCAAAAAGTTGCTTAAGTCACTATGTCCATATAAAAAAAGAGATTAAACGACAAGACACTTTAGAAGGTACAACACAAACTCCATCAAACACTCTGGCAATTTAATTCCTGCTACGCCATGCAGTGACCTCTATTATGTTCAGAATGACAAGTTAATATTCGGTGATTGTATCATTCGATGATTGTAAAAAATGAGTAAATTGGGACAGACTTGTGGGTACGATATATTGATTAATCTGAGGTCATCTTCAACTTGAATTTGTCGGTGCCAATTCATGATGATGATCATTAAACCATCGACGAAAAGATGTCAAGTTGAATAAACGGAAGCATACAGAGCAATTTTATCATATGTGGCGGCATGGTAATTAACACTATAATCCTTTACAACAGATAAAAAAAGCTGATCTGAAAGGTACACGATCTACTTGCCACTATACATCATGTACCGTCTTACAACCCTAGATAAAGCCGACAAGGAAAGGCATTACATCGACCACCGAAAGCTATATGTTTACATAGCCTAGTGGTCTAGGGCGATGGACACTGTGCAGGCGGTGTTGCCGTGATGCCACAGAATCAAGGGTTCGAATCCCGCTGAGGGAAGAGCAAACATTTGCTATCTCAAATTTGAAGATCTAACATTGTTGGGCTAAATTTGAGACGAATTATATGTTGAAAACATATATAATTATATACTTCACTGGTGATCCAATTGATGGATCTGTCCTAGAGTTGTCACTTGTTTAGACGTAATTATTGCTATGACTGCATCATACGATCATTTAGTACAGATAACTAAGCTAATCTGCAATCGATTCCATCTTCATGCCTTATATATCATGTACTGTGTTACAACTCTAGATTCTACTGACGAGGAAAGGTAACACTAGGCCACCCAAAGCTGAATTTTTTGTTCAGTCTAGGTGGCCGAGTGGTATATAACGCTGGACACAGTGCAGGCGGTGTTGTCTCGATATCCCAATAGCATGAGTTCCAATCCCGGCGAGTGAAGAACAAAAAATTGCTTCCTCAAATATTTAGAGTAATTATGAATAACACATATATATATATATATATATATATTATATATGAATTATAAATAATGCTCAATTACAACATTTGTCTTCAACAGAAGTCCTGTGCAATATCAATACACAGAGCTATTGTTACTCCAAGTCTAGAAACGCGTAAATTAAATTAAACATAGAATAAAAATCTTAAATTTGATTTTTGAACGGAATCAAGACTATAGTGCAGGTTTAAACTTTTGAAGAATGTAGTCAAGATTTTCAAATCTGAATTATTCAAACAAAACGAAAAAAGACGTGATATTGTTCAATTCAAAACTAAAATACAGAATTTTAACACAGAAAATGAATAAAAAAAATAGTAATTGATATTTACCGTCTGGTCAAAAACAAAAAGAACGCATCACATGAAGCAAACACATTGTTCCATATTTTCATGCCATGGCCTTTTATAGCCGACTATACGGTATGTTTTGTTTGTCTCATTGTTGAACCCGTACGGTTATCTATTATTACTAACATCCACTTCATATGATCTTTAGTGGAGAGTTTTCTCATTGGCAATCATACTACAATCCATTTTACATATACACAGATTCAATCATTAAAGAACGACAATTTACTTACATCCTTTATCAAAGATTCGGATAAACATAACAAAAACAGAATGTAATGGTACATGTATCTCTTAACCCTGTCTTCTTTACAAAACTTGACCAGAGATATCATTTTGTTGTAGCTTCAACCCCATTTCCTCGATTGTGATATTATCGGATACGGCTTACCCTTTTACTTGCCACGACCGATGCCATGTTGGCAATTGTTTTTGTCTTCTTGTGTTGTTTTTACCATGACGTTGTCTGTTGTCTTCTATCAAGAGTGTTTGATTGTTGCTCTTGTGTCTTCTCCACTTTTTATATATTAGAAATATCGTTTTCTTAAATTATTCAACCTTATTCCAACAAAAGCGGATATTTTAAAAATTATATATCAATGAGAACCCGTGTATATGTGGTTACCTTCCTGTTAAAAATGTTGAAGCTTTTATCTGACAGAGTGTGAATAAATGTTCTTCCCAAAATTTTACAGTTGAATTTCTTTTCTGTGGTAAATAGTTGATGAAAGCTTAAAACTAAAACCTGATGAATAAATCACAACATACTGATCCTAATAGGTAAGGAAAGGCGAAGACGGTAATACATCTCTCGCAGTCGTTTATCTTACATCATGAGAATGATAACTTTAATTTGGCGTAGAAAACCAACCTTCATTAGAATGTGCCCATTTTATGACTTCGTTGGCATTGATATTTATACATTTATAGCAGGTTACATCCCTCTGGATCTAGGATTATTAATATCATTGGATTAGACTTTTTCCCATTATGTTGATGAAAAACAGTGACTATATTGGTTTAAAGAAACAGCCATTCAATTTGATTACATATTCGGGTTAATTGTTTTTATTCAATACCACCGCTTATGGACTGTTAGTACGCGAGGGTATTAGTAGCCCAGTAGTCAAAGTTTTACTGTTGACATGATTTATAACATACCTTTCTTAAAATTTTCCGTTCATAAATAAATGAAGGAGTTAGAAATTAAAAAGTATCCCTTTGATATTGTTGACCTTTGATGGTGTTGGTTATTCTTTTAAAACAACCCATTTTTACATAAGGAAATGCCTGTACCAAGTCAGGAATACGACAGTTGTTTTCTATTCGTGAAATGTGTTTGAGTTTTTGATTTGCCATTTTATAAAGGACTTTTCGTTTTGAATTTCCCTTGGAGTTTGGTATTTTTTGTTATTTCACTTTTTATGCCGTTAAGCTTCTTTAGCATTTCTGGCTTTAAAATTTAGAGTTTTCAGAGTTTTGGATGAAGGTAGATACAAAAAAAAAACACGCTACGGACGCACAGAATTGTTAAAGTGTCCATTTCAACAAATAGACAATATAATTCTGTTTGATATAAATCTGTTGACTCGTTTTATTTTATAAGAAGGAGACAGTAGATATAATTTGAAGTCATAGTGCTATATCTACACACAATTGTTTGTACCTTAGCCGCTGCAGAATGTGACATGGTGTGGATTTTATGTTCCAATTATGTATTTTTGATCATTTAGTTATTTGAATACAAGAAAATTATAAGCATGTTTTCCGTTAGATATTATAAGTTTAGTAACTAGCTGCAATTCATAAAAGTGAAAGAATAAATGAGTACTCATTGCAACATATTGACGGTACATCTAATGTTTATATCATTCGTATATTTCTAATGTTTATATACTAAATCGATTTGACTGCTTTTCAGAATGAGTGCCGCGATATTCAATGCTACCCTGGAAGAATTCTGACAAACAATGGCTGTGTTCCTTTACTACCGTTTACAAGTAATCTTGGGTATATATTGTCATTAACATTGAGGAATAAAGCTACCAGAATGATTAGCGTAACAACACAATTTTTGAATACGATTGTGGATTCGTTTATTGAATTTTTGCAAACATATTTAAAGGTAAGAAGTTTGCTCCTTGAAGCATCGGAGTTAAATGTAAATCTCAGCTGTTCAAAGACTCTGATGAACGGAACGTTCTTTGATATAATATTGGACCAAAAGATATTTATTAACGAGTTTGTTGATAGATCCTTCATTGAAAAGCAGTTAATTAATCTCACTTTCAACACGTTTTCTATACAATACGGTGATGCACTATTTAAATTCGTTATAAAAAAGACTGAGAAATTATATAATTTTCCAGGAGTGATAAACAAAATGAATTCTGCAAAAACTTGTCGCTACACAAACGTACATACTTTTAAGAATGTTCATCGGCACAAATATTCCGAGCTCAGTGAATTATTAGTCTGTGAACAAGTCGAAATGGATGAGAATGAATTTCAAGTTGACGAGGATAATTATGAATTGACGTTGAATCTCAGTGGATCGGAGATACATTATGATAATGAATATATTTTGATGCCAAAAAAAAAAGCTAGACTTTGTCTAGATGAGTATAAGGACATTTTTGCAAGTCAACCAGGTTTCGAAAGTCGAGCAATCTCTTTTTTGAGTATACTCATGATGAGTTGTACACTTTTGTCCTTGTTTTGCCTACTTTTAACATTCATTATCTATTGCTTATTTGGTACTCTGAGGTCATTCCCAGGAAAAAATAACATGTGTTTAGTTTTTGCAATGTTTTTCGCCCATTTGTTGTTCCAGTTTGGATTATACGCATCTCATTCAAACACGTTATGCATATTGATTGGTATTTTAATGCATATATTTTGGTTAGCAACATTCGGCTGCTTGAACGTTTGCTCGTTCCATATGTTCCGTGTTTTTCGAAGTAAGATAATACTGTATTCATCCGGACAGTCAGGACACAAGAAAGTTTTAATTTCGTATGTTTTTATTCATATGGACTTCCAATTTTAATAGTGTCAATCAATATGATAACAACTTTTATACATGATGATTCTATCGGATATGGAGGACACATATGCTTTTTAAATCGACCGACAGCCATTATCGTTACATTTATAATACCAATAACGCTAGTGTGTTTGACAAATATATATTTCTTTATTGTGACGTCAGTAAAAATAGTCTCTACGCCTAAAGTAAAAAGAGAAGAACAGAGTACAACATTAAATCGTGTTCATTTTTCTATATATGTAAAATTGTTCTCGATAACGGGAATAACATGGCTTCTCCAAATAATTGATACCCTTTTTCCAGTGTCCGTTATTTCTTCCATAGTCTCAATGCTTAACGCTCTGCAAGGGGTTTTTATTTTTGTTTCCTTCATGTGTAACAGAAGAGTCCTTCAGTTGTTCAGAAAAGCCAAAGAATCATCGTCTACGGCTTCGACATCTTACACATCACAAGGCAACATAATCGAAACAACGACAATATCGCTGATTGACTCATCAAAAACGGAAGCTGTGATATCTGAAAAATGAAAACAAAAGATTACTTGAAATCAGGACTTCAAATGCGGTAGTACATGTAAAGATTGTTTTCTTCGATGGAGAGATATTTGTAATATTTGAAATTGACTAAATCTGAAAGTAAAACGAACAAATCAATTAAAAAGGTCACCTCTTACTTTATATTTATGAGTACTCACAAATACAAATACATTGCACTACAAAATAAAAAACAGTTATTAATGTATATTTACCGACGAATCCTATTATCTTTCTAATTTAATACATATATGTTGTTGTAAAATTATAACTTTTAGGTCTATGTCCAGGAGAAAATTAAATTGGTTGGTTCTAATAGTATTTGTTGTCGAGAATAATAAGTATTCCTAACGAAACGATGAGTTGTGTGGCGAATTCTTTGATATTATCAAGTACTATGGCATATATTAAAAAAACAACGAAATTTACTAAAGTATTGAAAAAGGAACACATATTAAAGTTGATTTTTCTCCAACATATAATCACATAAGTTGTCTGACAATACAATATAAAGACCAGCATAAACATGAAAGGGCACTTGGTGATATTCGTTCAGAAAATCTAACATGTAAAAGTATAGTTTTGCATTGAAACAAGCGAAAGCATTTAAAATTTTTAAAAAAGTGTCTGAGTTTAAAATGCATTTTTGTTCAAAATATATAAACAACAGACCCTATCTAATGGACAAACATTAAGAACAAGCAGAATGATATAAATGGGAAGAGCATATATACATATATCAATTAATTAAAGTCTCCATCTTGGAAATTGTCTGAATATATTTTATGATAACTCAATTGTTACCATGTTATGTCAAAATATATGAGTCCATACTGCAGGTATACGCGACATATTTTTTTTTTTCAACAATAACTTTTACCTCTATATGCAATTGTAATATAGTGCAAAGTATTTATCGAAGATATCCTTGTGAAATAAAATGTAGTATTCCTTGATGTTTTAATTTTAAAACAACCATAATAAACTCATCATAGATACCAGGATTTGAATTTTGTACGCCAGACGCGCGTTTCGTTTTTAAAAGACTCAAGCAGTGACGCTCGAATCAAAATAATTAAAAATACCAAATAAAGACATTGAGGACCCAAATACTAAAAGAACCATAAACGAGTGTCCAGATTTTCACAATTGACAAACAAAAAAAGCTGAATAATAATTGAACGCGCTCTATTGTTATTATTGTCCTGTAATCAAAAGGTTCCAAATTGTTGAATTCATATTGCACTCAAAACTTTCTTAAAATTCCGCGTTGATAAGTTTAAAAATTAAGGTTTCAACTCGCTCAGGCAAAGTTAGCCTTATATGAATTTGGCAATTCTTTTGGGTCCTCTGTGTTCATATATCCTTACTTACTTACCGTACTTACAAATATTCCCTATTCCAAACTAAAAGACAAATTAAAAGAGTTGGTCCTGCTTTGTTTCATAAAAAAGAATGGTAAACGTAGATATGTTACAGGCATTTTCTTAATTTAGGCATTTTATATATTGACTAATTTTTTCAGGCATTTGAAAAATGCCTGGAAAAATTGAAAGGCATTTTACAAAATGCCTGAAATTATTTTATAGTATGAAATATTCACAAAAACTGGGCAATTGAAAGTATCGAACAACAGATTTAGATCAGTTTTATAAATGATAATTGCTGAATTTTAAAGCTTGCAATTTAAGACATGTAAGAGTTTTAATGATTAAAAACAAATTCTACTGATACAGACACCGAATTTGACAATTATTTGTTATTTCATATAATGTTTGGTAACATAATCTGTTACACTTTTGTCCTGATTATTTTTCAAATACATTGTTTGGCGTAAAATCTGGTCTTAGCGCTACAACTAAATTTGGTGAAACACACATTTACCTTAGTCAATATGTTTTATGATAAATCACTTAATGTTCGACCAACATTGGGTTTTGCAAAATACACACACATAAATATCTTTTATTGCATGTGTTCCCAACAGATTCAAAGTCACATAAGCATGATTAGGTTGACTGACATCTTTCTGCTTATTAGGGAAAAAAAACAAGCTGAGGCAGATATACACAATTCAGGTTATGCATCCATAGCAGGTGATGTTTACACTGTCGATACACCTTTGTTTGTTGCTTCTTGGTCTATTTTCCAGATTTTAACAATGGTTAAACTAATGTCGATATAATTCACCAAACACAGTAATTGCAAATACCCAAGAATTCACTTTAGGCAGTGAAAATGAAGATCCTCAGATCTTTGCATAGACAACTAAACATGGCCTTGTATGACAAAATCCATGCTATATATAGAGAGGGAATTTGTTTGCCTATGCAGAATATATAAATTGGAGGCAACTTTTCTGTTCCTATCAAACATACCTTTATTTTAAGAGGCAGTCAAAATTCCTGTCCTTTATCCAGGTCAATCCATTGCAGAACTTACCTCTTTGATTTGTTATCGATTTGTTCTCGTCTTAAAAATGCATGTAATATTTGCTGCTGAATGTCAAAAACAAAAAAACAAAAACAAAAACCAACAATCAGTCAATAAAAAAAAGATGTTTTTTTTTCTCGGCTCCATATTAGACGATATTGTTTAGATCTAGATTTTCTAAAAGTTCTTTTTCAAAACTTTGCTCTATTTCAAGAACAATTTGTCCTTCTGATATGACAAAAAAATTATAAAATCAGAAATATGACAGTTGTTTTCCATTCGTTAGATGTGTTTGAGCTTTTGATTTTGCCATTTTATAAAGGACTTTCCGTCTTGAAATTGCGTTGGAGTTCGGTATTTTTGTTATTTTACTTTTTACTATCTGAAGTACAGAGTGAGTACATACTTAACGTAGAATACAAACTTTCTCAGCTTTTTTTGAAGAATAAACTCAATTTTTACCGAACCATCAGTTATTGTATTAGCAAGATATGGTGTTTTGGTCATATGCATCTCAATAACAATTATCCTTTTTTTTAAACAAATTACCTGAAAGTGAACAGGCAATTTGTTGAATTTTGCTTCAACATTTCAGTCATTTTACAAAATGACTTGGTATTTTTAGTCATTTTACATAATGCCTGTCAAGGTTAGGAATGGTATAAATTGCCTGAAAATTCAGTCATTTTACAAAATGCCTAAATTTAGAAAACGCCTGTAACAGATACAAGTATCTTGTCTAAGGGACGAATAAATCCTGCTTTGTAAAAAATCACTCTGATTCAAACAAAAAATTCTCTGAAACTGACATTATCAAGATTCTTGATTTCTTGATTGACAACATTTTTGTAACGTTTGGAGGACGCGTTTTTCCACAAACAATCGGCATTCCTATGGGAACCAACTGTGCCCCTCTTCTAGCCGACTTGTTCCTTTATTCATATGAAGCTGTCTTCATACAGGAACTTCTTAGGAAGAAAGAAAAGAAGTTAGCAATATCCTTTAACTTTACTTTCCGCTATACAGATGATGTTCTTTCACTGAAGAATTCAAAATTTGGTGACTATGTTAAACGTATCTTTCTCATCGAACTTGAGATAAAAGATACAACAGATACAGTTAGGTCTGCCTCATATCTTGACTTACATCTATAAATTGATAATGAAGGTCGGTTGAAAACAAAATTTACGACAAAAAAAAGATTTCAGCTTCCGAATTGTGAACTTTCCATTTCTATGTAGCAACGCCTGCATCAGGGGTATATATCTCCTAGTTGATACGATATTCCAGGGCTTGTATTTCCTATCATGATTTCATTGACAGAGGTTTGCTGCTCACAAGGAAGCTATTAAACCAAGATTTCCAAGTGGTGAAGTTGAAATAAACCCTTCGTAAATTTTACGGACGCCATCACGAGTTGGTTGACCGTTATGAAATATCCGTTTCACAGATTTTGATTGATTGATTGTTGGTTGCTTTACGCCGCATTAGCACAACAAGGCTATATCGCGGCGAGAGCTAATTCGAATATTTTTTACAATTTAAAGCATATTCTTAAAATCAGACAAAAGGTCCTTCAATAAACTAAAATTCTAGATTAAAGCAAATTGATTATGTACAAATAAAAATGAACATTAAGATAACGTGATAAAATTTAAAAACGTTTTAAATATAATAACATTTTTATATTTTAGAATATATTCCAACTTCTTTTAAAAATGAAACAATATTTGTAAATGAAACATTATTAAATAAATCATACATATTTCAAGATACATTGTCACTTTCTTTTAAATGAGTTTCTTGAAGACAAAATGCAGTAGGTAAAAATGACTGAACTAGAAGCGTCAACTCGAGAAGATTTATTTTAAGACCTCGGCAATTCCATTGGATGATATTAGTCATGATTTGTTAATAGACGGGCGAATGCTATCGAGTTTGCCAGCATTCTTATTTCGCTCACCCTGAGATTGTAATCTTTCGGGTGGCGGAACACTTTCGATTTCCATTTCTGATTCGTCGTTAAGTGTTGAAAATCTGTTGTGTGAGGAGAGTCGTCGATCTCCAGGACCGTGCGCAGCTGGTTTTACTCCGCCTCGACCCCTACCCCGCGACCTCGAATCAGAAGACTTCTGAGAGGATGTATTTGCTGGCTTATTTGGAACATCCTTCTGTTCTGGAGAACGAAGAGGAGACGGGGCTTTAGAAGACTTTGTACTGGATGTAGAAGATAAACTAGTTTTATTAGATGTAGATGAAGGAGGACTATTGGAGATGGAAGAATCATCTATGTCACTGGGAAGATCCCAGACAGATTCACCGCCCCAACTGTCTGATTTAACTGTATCTTTTTTATTTGATTTCTTTTTTTCATTTTTTTTAGATGATGACATTGAGCTCTGTAAGGAAGATTGAGTTGACTGAGTACTGGTTTTAGAAGGTGTTGGTTTTCTTGGAATTAATATTTTATCGTTAGGTTCTGTTTCAACAGGCAGCATTGTAAATGTCTCAGCATCAATTGGCCAGGTCATGCGAGTTTGTGTATGCTCGTGACTAAATGAGCAGACAACTTTGCTGGCGTACGATGGTCTGTTCGAAACAAGGAGATCATTCGAAACAGAAGCTATCTGTTTAGCTTCTGGGTAACTGATGTTTCTTTCTGTTTTAATTTTGATAATATTTTTTTCTTTAAGGTAAACAGGGCAGTCCCTAGATGATGAAAAATGGGATTCACCACAGTTTACGCATTTAGAAGATTCAGAGCTACAGGTTGTTCCCTCGTGTCCTTCGTCAGAACACTTGAAGCATCTCTGCGTACCACGACATTGTTTGCTTCCATGACCAAACTTTTGACAAGTGAAGCATCGAATTGGATTAGGGATAAACCTGTCAACTCTGATTCCGAAGCAACCTAAAGTAATAGATGGAGGAGGAGTTGGAGTTCTAAATGTCAAAAGATATGTATTTAATTTGATTATATTTCCATTCTTTTTTATTTGAAATCTAACAACATCAGTTACACCTTGGCTTGAAAGTTCCTCACAGATTTCTTCCACGGTAAGGTCACCAAGGTATTGACTTCTGTCTCGAATGATCCCCTTACAGCTGTTCAAACTGTTGTGAGGAGAGGCAGAAACAGGAAAGTTTGTAATTGTTGTCAGTGTAAGCAAATTTGTTGATTGACTTTTGTTGGAACATTCAACCAACAAATTGCCTGATCTCATTTTTGAAACTTTTTTAACAGTACCAGCAACGCTTAGAATTTGTTTGTGAATCACAAAGGGAGATATTTTGGAAATTGGTTTTTCATCTGTTCCTTTTATTACAATAAATCTGGGCCAACTGTCATCTTCGTGACAGGGCACTGAATCATCACATTTTCTTTTTTTATGTATTAAAGCTGATTTAGAGGGTTGGTTTTGTTGTGCCATATGAAATGAGAAAGATTCACCATTCTTGTCATCCACCCACCTCGGAGTGCCTACAAGGGCGATGCTGTGTTTCCGTGGCGAGCCGGGGTCAAGTGCTAATGCTGAAAACGAGCTCCAAGTATAACATGTATAACGTAGCTGATCCCCAAAATTAGCACCCAAGATCCACTGCGGAAAGCACCAGATGTTCCAAGAATAGTATACTCAAGCAGAGCGTATCCATCAAGCGAAATAGAAAGCGTACCACTTGATTGACCCATGAGCCATCGCCTTCTTCAGTTATCCGAAATATAAATAGCTTAATTTAAAACACATGTGTATATAATGAAAATTGTTACAAGAAAGCTTATTGTTGAGGATTAACTGAAGGGCTCGACATGACCAGCCGATTGATCGAACCGGGTCCATCCGACCTCCCGTTTAGATGATATTGGAGCCAAAGCAGCTTATTGAACTATAGTCTCGTCCGTTCGGGTATTTTCTGACCGTAAGGAGTCTGGCTACAGCCCTCATCCGCAAGGATCTCGTCAACCACCGACACGGGTAGCAACCCACGGCCAACGGGTTGGAGAGCCTATTTTATTCAAAACATCGGGCAACTCGTACGATGTTCGGATCACTTTAGTCTGGTCTCTACCCTTCGACCTGTCCAGCATGGGTAACCCTACCAAGAGACAAAGCTCCAACTG